TAAAGACTAACAAGATGGTTTAATAGGTGATGAGCTTTCGTGGGCCAGACCCACTTCCTCAGATCAAATAGTGGAAGAAAATTGTCACAACCACTTTCTTTTGTTAGTCTTTAAAGTGCTACACAGTCCTGTTTTGTTTCTTTTGTTAGTTTTAAACCTGCTACACATTAACTTCATTTGGTGTCCTCTAGTTCTTCTATTATGGGAACTAATAAATAACTTTTCTTTATCTGCCCTCTCCACACCACTCATGACTTTATAGACTTCTATCATATCCCCCGTCGGTCTCCTCTTTTCTAAACTGAAAAGTCCCAGTCGCTTTAACCTCTCTTCATAGAAATGGGGGAGGGAGAGACCCCGCACGTGCAAGGAGGGTTTTTAGGAATGGGGATCCAACCAACAGGGCAAAAGGAGGACTGAGTTCCCACAGGGGATTGAAGCTTCAGCATGAATAGGCTGCAGCCAGTCCAGAGGTGCCCTCAAGTGGTGTCCGGGGGTTGCCCGCTGGGTCTGGGCCCCGCAGTTGGGTGTGGTGGGGGTGAAGTGTGCAGGGTAGGTACAGAGGGATCTGAACTTGCTGCTGGCTCTGCCCCCTGTATCACTGTCAAAGGCCCTTCTGGCAGGATGAATTTTTCAAGCCCAGAGCATGGCTCTGGTCATTCCAACAGCCTGATCTGGTTCAAATGCGTTCTGAAATAATATCCACACGGGCATCCCCCCCAGATGGGAGTGAGGGCTGGGTTCACTTCCACATTCGTCCTGGAGCAGAGGGTTTGGGGCACTATCACGGGTCGAGCTCTCGCTGCCTGCTCGTCACTTGGGGAATCAGCGCTCCTGCCTCAGAGTGCCCGCTACTGGTCGGTGTCCCAGCCTCTGTTGTAGGTCTGCTGGTTCAGCTCTGTGTCCGTTCCGGCCCACAGTGTCCTTTCTTCCTTGTACTGTCCTAGGTCAGTGCCCCTGCTCTCCCCTCCCAGGGAACCCCAAACTCCCCTACACCCACCTTACTTCAGTGACCCACTGCCAGTCATCATCTAGCCCCTGCCTCAGGCACCAACTGCAGTCTGAAATGGCCGCTCAGCATTGGCAAGAGGTGTGGACCTGCTGCCTTCTACCCTGGCTGTCTGCCTGCAGCCCTAGTACCCTCAGGCCCTGCAGCCTTGGAGTGAGGTCAGGCCAGAGCTCTCCAGCTCTGC